TCTGCAGGCGGCGTGTGCCCGCTCCGGGCCGCCCTGTGCTCTGCGGGCGTGTGCCCGCTCCGGGCCGCCCTGTGCTCTGCGGGCGTGTGCCCGCTCCGGGCCGCCCTGTGCTCTGCGGAGCAGAGAGCAAACTGAGGCATCTTTCAGCAATATTATCAACTTCCTTAACACCACAAAATCTGTGCAAAAACTACTATAACTGGGATGCCGCTCTGCAGCAGATCTCCAAGTGCCCTTCATGGTGTATAAGGCACAGACAGCAGCTTCGTGAACAGAGCACAGCCTTCAGGCTCTGTGCCTCCCTCATCCACAGTGCCACGAGCCTGCAAGCATACGGGAGGCAGCAGTCAGAGTCGTGAGAGCCCTGGCTGACCGATCCCACCACCGGCCCCCGGGGGCCCTCACACAGGAGGTGTGGCCGCTGGAGTCCCAGAGTCCTATGGAGACAGAGCTTTTGCTCAGGCGAATGCCAGGCCATCCAGGAGGCCCCACAGTCCGGGCCTTGTTTAACTAAGTTACTAAGGCGGTTTCACTACATCAGGAGGATGCTTCCTAACTTGCTCACTCAATTAAATGCCTTTCCATGCCCTGTATTTTATTGATCTGTTCTTCGTTTTCTTCAGCCTTTTCCTTAAATTGCATCATTTCACTGATTTGCACCAGTTAACTCATCATCATGCTGGTTATCCTGTGACTGCTGAGATTGTCTATGACTAATTTCAGCACGTTTCAAAACAGCTGCTGTCTACCTAACAGCCCCCTTATGCGTCTCTCACCTCCATTTTCCTCAGTCATGTCTTGGCTCCCTGAAAAGGCTCGATCAATACAGGCACTCTCTCAAGAGTTCTGAGAGGCGGAAATGGATTCCATACCTGAAGTGCTTGCTCAACTTGCCCTTTCTGCAAATAAATTCTTCCCTTTAGAGCCAGAAGGACAGGATCATTGTCTGCATCTGAAATCTGAAAAACATACAGCAAAGACAGGGTTTTATTTAAAAACCTCCTGCAATTACAAATTGGATTCTTACCTTCTTCACAAAATACATATTGTTGTCCCAGCGCTGAACAACAGCCTTTTTGACATCAAGTAATTTTTAGGAAGCAAAAAGCTATAATTAATTTTTTTCTGCCACTCCACACTACAAATCACCCAGCAATTTGGGGTAATTGCTATTGTATTTCACAGTGTGAAGCCAAAGACCTAGAAACTCAATGAACAAAACAAAGAAAACTGTGAAAATCAAGATGCACACAGCACTAAGCGACACAACCCCTCTCGGGCCTAGATGCCTGTGGTGGATCTGCACCCGGGCCGGGCTGGCGAGGCAGGGTGGTGGGCTCCCAGTACCTGTGCCAGCGTGTCGAGGGCCTCCTGCGCAGACTGCTCCCCTCCGCTCCGCACCAGGGCTTCCGTCTTGAGCCGCAGCAGCTGCAGTGTCCACTCCTCCTCCCCTCCACTGCTGCTCAGGGCTGGGGACACAGGCACGACCCCTTACCGCTTAGAAAGACCCCCTCAAGCGCTCCTGCCCTTTAGCGTCTTAATACAACCTTTATTAACCACAGAATCACACTGCTGCATCTTGCCCATTCACCTGGGCAAACCAGCCGAGATGCGAGCTCAGCTCCAAGCAAGCCTTCTAGACTGGATCTACGGGACACCGGTACCTTGGTTGCAGGAAACGATGCTGTCCGAGTACCGGTGCATTTTCAGCTGCGCTTGTGCAAGGTGAAACCAGCCACTGGTGCTGGAGCGCATCTGCTTGAGTCCTGAAAGAGAACGGGACCTGGTAACCACAGGATGCACAGGGAAGGTAAGAGGAAGGGCAGCCTACGAACAGGAGTCCGTTCTTACACAAAGGATGGTGGGAGTCTGGAACAAGCTGTTTGGCCGTGTTGCTAAAACGAATATCCTGGGACCCTCTCAGAAATAGCTGGATGAGATCTTCAGTTTAATGAGCTATTAGAAGCCAAATGAGCCTAATGGCTGCCTACTGTTTGCAAAATTTATGCATACTGAATACATACTGTCATCTTCAAGCATCCCTCTCAAGGATTGAGACTTTATCTTCAGTCATTTTATCTTCATGGGGAGATGCTGACGCTTGGGACGTTTATTGCTAGTATGGCCTAATCTGACTCCCTCTGAGGCTGCTGGCTGCACTCTGCACTGGCCTCAGAGCAGGGTGGTTTCCCAAGCTGTCTGGCACCAAAGCGATGTGCAAACATTCCTACTGTATGTCTGCTGTCATGTCTGTATCAAATCTCAATGTCAGTCTGTATGCCGTGCAGTACATCATCGTTATAGGGCACTTATGGGCTCAGGGAGGTTTTGTTGCCAGTGTTTTAGTCACGAGCTCCTGAGTCATGAGCCTGGTCACGTCACTCCATCAGATATCCCGGCAAGCAGGAGCCCGACCCAGAGGCACAGGGCTCAGCCCAGCAAGGAGTGCCCAGGACGGCTCTCCCCTGGCCAGGACACAGGGGGCCCAGAGAGAGAGGCCACTCGGTCTGGGGGCAGCAGAAAGTGCGTGCAGGACACGTTTTTAACGTTCCAATTCACATTTGCAATCTGGGATACAGAAGGAACAGTACTATTTGTTTCTGTATTAACGCATGCACAGTAATTATTACAAGTGCGAGGCTGCTGTTTGAGTCAGCAGCGATACTACAATTACTTGCCCGATGGTCTACCAGTACAACAGGTCTTCCTGGATGTTGGAGAATCAGTCACCCCTGGCATTAAAGGTGTTGTTCGACTCTGCCATTTGGAAATATCGCTCATTCACAAGTTCGTGTAAGCATTTTCTCGTGTGCACTGAAGTGTGCAGGATTCTGGGGCTCAGACCTGTGCTCCCCCACTAGTTTATACAGCCCCTGTAGACACGGCTTCTTGCACGGACATCCAGGGCGACACACCCAGGACAAGACGGCAGCTCTCAGTGACGGGCTCATGTAGGGAGGTCTAGGCTCTGCTCTGGTGTGCCGACCCAGTGGCGCCGCACTCACCCTGAGCCAGGTTCCGGACCGCCTCCTCGTACTTCTGCTCCCGCAGAGCGCTGAGCCCCAGCCCGACGAGAGCCGGGCCGCTGTCGGAGTCCCGCTGCGCCAGCCTCGCGAAGCAGCGCGCCGCCTCCTCGCCGCACACGCCTGGGGGAACACAGAGCTGTCAGACCCAGCATGGCCGCCGGCTGGTCCCTCGGGACCCCGGGCTCCCCGGCAGCCACAGCAGGGAAACAACAAGACACAAGCTCTGGAACAGAAAGGCTCATGTGAGCAATTACTTTATTAACCTCTCTATATTCACTCTCTTGATTTTACTGGTTTCCTGCCGACTGGACAAAATCATTCATTCATCCGATTTTAAACCACTTCTTCCAATTTAGGGTCATGGCGGAGCCGGAGCCTATCCTGGCAAGCAACAGGCACAAGGCAGGATAAACCCTGGATGTTCTGTAAGTGGACAAAGTGATATGATTGTGAGCCTCTCAGGCCTGCATTAAAATGAGGCTCTTTTCTGTTTTACCAATTAATCTCTTTAGCCATTTCAAAAGCTGACCCCTAACATAATACAATGGATACAGGCCTCTTGTTTTACTGCATCTGTTCTGGGAAATACCACTCTGACACTACCAGACAAAGATGTCTTTTGGCTGCACTGCTCCTTAAAAGGACTGGACAGTCTGACAGTCAGTGTGAAATGAAGATGCATTTCGGGAGCCACTTGGTCACAGGTGTGTGCAGTTGTTCACACACCCTGCTCTCCTGCTCCACAGACACCTTCGGTGTGCTCACTCCTTCACACCGCCACGGCTGCACCTCATATTCAAATCAAAGCCATCCAACTAAGAATACATTTGTCTAGGGTAAAACGAGCTTCTTGACTCCGTTGATAGGATCAGGTGCCTCTCTTTCAAGAAATCCATCCAAACAGGACCCGCCGTTTAAAATTAAAAGAGAATTCAACTATGGAAGAAAAGATCTGGACAGCTAAGAATAAACAGCCCTCTGGACCACATCACACACTGTGGATTTCACGGGGAAAGTGTCCAGTTCGTGTCCAGAGAACTCCCACTCATATATACACTGGGCACAAAGACAGT